AGCACAGATAGCCCACTGTGTAGCTTTGTGCTTAATTACAAACAAACAAACAAATTTAAGATAAAAGGTATTTAAATAATATGATTTGCGTTAGTGGGTTATTTAAATGAACTATTGGCGTTCCGTGGCATCCATTAATAAAAACTGACTGAAAGATAATATAGTATATCAATGAAAAAGCGGCTTTTCTAAATTTGTTTGATAAATGTGAAGGTTAGAAATTTGAGCATTAACATAATGCAACGTTTTTAGGCTGCAATGAGCTTTTCTGGTTTTGTTTTTCTGACTAATTCTTTCTTATATGATGAGTTGTTTATGTGTCTATGTATTTGTTTTTGTTTTTTTTTTACTTTGCCTAGGAAGGAGAGTTTGATTGGGATGAAACTCTCCAAGGAACCATTCTTGGATCATTTTATTATACCTACGTATTGACTCAACTTCTAGGAGGACGGATGGCGGAGATTTACAGTTCTAAATGGGTGTATGGAGTAACAATAGTGGGCACATCTGTGTTATCTATCTTGACTCCTCTACTTGCCAGGGTGCATGTTGCAGCTTTGATCGTGGTTCGAGTCTTAGAAGGATTACTAGGGGTAATGTTAAATTATATGAATCTTCGCTAAAAACATAGGCAAATAATTTACCGTTATTATTATTACTTTTGAATTATTTTCATGAACATGCTATATAATTATGTGTAATATTACAGACTATAAACCGATTACGGATTTTAAAGTTCCGATAATTGTCTAAGAAATATATGCTCCAACAATCGTGTACTTTAAAAAAAATTCGACTTACAACTATTTGTTTGGGTTAAGTGAATAAAACTGACATTCCAGTAAAATCCTAATGTATTTTACTATAGTGAACACCTTTGTATACTGAAAGGGTTGTTAGCGATCTATGATTACATTTACATATCCATTACCCTTGCACCTGGTCATACTCTTGGTCTGTGATTAATCATATTAGGTGTGATTTGTTTCTTGCGATTCAGCTGAAGTTTATGATTTGAAAGCGTAAATAGTGCTTATACTTGCCTCCTTCTAGGGTGGTTAGATTACAGGACTTTTTGACATGAAGAATTTTGATTCCACAACTATAGAAGCATGCAAAGCACGATATTTTAACTTTTGGAACAAATTATAAATATAATGTTGAATAGTTTCAGTAAAGTAAGAGAAGGCTTGATACCAGTGATGAAAAAATAAGCTACGCCATGATCAGCTACCAGTCTCATAACAGATGTAATGGAGAAAGTTAAACAACTAGTCATCGGAAAAACAACAAGAATAAAACAACAATCTACTGCAGATAATGTAGGAACCTCCTTTAAAACTGTTAATAAGATTGTAACAGGTGGTCGGTAGACGTAGTCGTTTTGAGTTACAAATAAATGTATTTATTACCAAGTTAAGCAGCCGTGGGTTAAGCACACAAGCCACCAACTTGAGGAGCCTACATTTGGAATAAAGAAATTCACTCAGAGATAAGTCGTAGTAATACAAAAATAAGTTTAAATCAGTATGTTCAAGTACTCACCTACATCTATAGTTCCAAAACTGTTTTGCAATAACTATACATCGAAATGCCTAAATTAATCATGGTAAATAGCTAAATGCTCGTTAATCAAACCCTCCATAAGATTCATCAACATAGAAACTACAACAAACAAATTATCAACGAGGTTAACACGGAGTATCCCTTCAGACATAATTATGTTTAGACAATTCAGTTAACACTTGTTACAATATATTTCATAATAGCTCTATTATCTCTGCTATTAATTTTGCTAGCTCTTCAATAGGATTATCTTGTAATACTGTTATTTCGTCAGACATAATATATCATTTAGTAAATACGTTGTTAGACCAGATAGATATAGCAATAATTACTTATAGGACGATTGTACGGCGAATATCTGCAAGACTCTGTAATATAGCCATTTTTGTTTCAGTTTGTTTGTTATGGATTTCGCGCAAAGCTACACGAGGGCTATCCGCGCTAGCCATCCCTAATTTAGCAGTGTAAGACTAGAGGGAAAGGAGATTTAATTCAGTTCCTAGCATTGGGTGAATATTTTTATAGGCACGTCAAAACTAGGTCAAAAAAGGACTATTTTAAGTGAAACTAGAACTAAAAACAGGACTTAAACATTGAAGTCTGTTAAGGGTACTCAAGTATAGAATATCTCAGGTTACATTTTGCCGTCTTCAGCCGTAGCCAAACCGAAAAGCAGAGAGAGAAATAAAGAGACATATAGGCCACTACAAAAGATCACTTGAAGGATAAAAAAACTTAGTTCCTAAACACTGGCATTCTGATTTCCATTATGATCACATACATGTACAAGTATCGTAATAAAACCTGAGATATCTACATCAATAAATACTACAATTAGAGTAATAAAAACTTTAAATGTACCCTCCTATTTCCAATACCGTAAAATGCACCCAGTCTCCTCTCTGATCAATATGCTATTGAAGTGCTCTCGAATTTGAATGAATTAACTTGAATAACACCAAATACGGTATCTAATATGCACGTGTTAGTTATTAAAGGTTATAATTGAAGACATTTTTACTAATATTTTTTGGATTCAGACACTTGGATACTTCAACTGATATAGCTGTCGTAGAAACCCTAGCATTATTTTCACGAATTTATTCGTTCCATGCCATTTTCCAATGTTGAATGTAGAATAACAAATATACTTTAACGTGGCTAATATGTTCAGCTAAGACACGAATCTATTAGAGATACTTAGAAAATGATTATTAGTGTGGTCATGGATGTTCTCCTGTTCATGTTAAAACGTTCCATAGTTTGTATAGGAAAATGGTGGAGATAACAAAGAGCTAGGTGGAAAAAGTTGAGTTAAATTAAAAGTAAACCAGTGAAACCTCAAATCAGAAGATTACATTTTCAGCTGAATGAAATATTGCAAATCTTGATGATGTAGCCCGCTGTAGATCTTAGATGACAGTCACACTGATGTTGCTATATTGAATTAAGAAACTTGTGGTCACGCTCGTATTTCTGCGAAGACATTCCTTTATTACGTTTTTAATATTTTAATGCACAAGTCAACCTGTTTATTTGACTCGCAAAGATTTCTTACATTATAGGCTAACTGTAATATTAGTTGACAGTGGCTTTTATATTTATTTTCTTACATTATAGGCTAACTGTAATGCTAGTTGGCAGTGGCTTTTATATTTATTTTAACATTTCATAGAGTAAGTGTTTATAACCAGAATAAAATGCATTCAGAATCTGAGTCGTTTTTGACCGTATGTATTATATATATTCAAACGACCATTTCATGCAAGTTTGGGACAAATCTATGATTGTATCATTTTGGGACATTTTTGACATTCTTCTTTATCTTTTACTATGAAAATTATTGATAGTTTTCTGTAAAGCTTCGCTAATATACCTGCTTTAGAATATAATATACAGAGAAATCACTCTGTTTAAAGCCATTATGATTTATACTTAATTCCAAAAGGTCTGCATTGAAAAGTAAATACTACAGTCTCTTGCAAAATCTATAATATCTAAGTTACTGTAAAATTACAATCGCATTGTATAGAAATAATAAAAAACGTTACTGTTAGGTGTATCAAGTCAATATAATTATTTTGTACTGTTTATGTCTAAAACTAAGTAATGAGCTTGATTGCCAGATAAGCTAGCATTGTTTGTTTCCAATTCAGCAAGATATATAATATCAATATAATTATTTTAATACTTTGATGATTCAAAGTATTTAAATCATAAACGTATTTGTGGGGTAAATTAAATGAAATCAAGTTTAAGACGTTTTCTTAATCACACTTTCATATATATATATATAACTTGTAAAACATTTAAAGAAATTGTTAAATTCCATAAGGAAACCAAAAACATGTTTGTAAACTTATGTAAAAAATTACTAGAAATTCATAAATTGATAAGATATTTTACATTATAAGCTTAAAAATTGTAAATGGTATATCAATAGCTAATTCAACCAATAAGCTTAATAGCCTAATCAAGTAAATCAAAGTAAATATTTTGTAGAGAGTCGTAAAATTATATATTCGGACTAAAACAGCACTTATATATGATTTTTTCCTAGATGATATAAGCCCATACCATTGTTTTTAATATTTTATTTGTCGTTCATATAAGACGCTATTTACTCCGATGGTGGACGGAGGTTATTTTTTTCATTCGCTTGTGTTTGTTTGTGTTTTTATCGGCAAAATTTCTCGAAAACGCTTGAATGGATTTGGACTATGATTCAACTTATAAGTGATTAGTTTTTGGAAGGTAAAGGTCAAGGTCAAAAATCAGAAAAATCCCTATTTGTTAACATGGGGGACCGAATTTTCAAACAATGTTTGCTTTATAACTCAATCAACTTTTGATGATACTTGGTGGACATATGTAGAATATTATTCATCATTGCCCTGCCAAAAACGGTCCGTGTCCGTTGATAACGGCAGACATATGGCAAATTTTCGTATTTATTGAGAGCCGAATATGATCAATACTGTATGGCGGAGGTATGCACTCTACTGTGTGCCTCTCTAGTTTTATTTGTATTACTTGTTTTGTTGTGACTATATAAAACTCTTCTATACTTTATTTAAACAAAATAATGTTAAACTTTCTTATTAACTGGCTTATAGTGATGAAACAAAATAATAATGAATATCGAAGGTTATTTGATGATATAATGCAATAGTATAATAAACATAAATTCTAGAATACATGTTTAAGAACTATCTAAACAGTGATACAGGAGAAACTTTATCACATAATAGGGACCTAGCTATCCTGCGATGCACGTAATGTTGGGACACTGGCTAACTCGATCACAGAGGGGTTTGTTGTCTTCCATGGTCTTCATTGGTGGAGACATAGGAACAGTGATATCAATACTTATAACAGGAATGATGTGTGAAACTGACTTTCTTGGTGGATGGCCTGCTGGATTTTATTTATTAGGTAACATGTTTACTGACTGTTCTATAAATCAAAAGCACGAAAAATTTACTATAAAGAAATAACGAAATGTAAAATAAATTTGGAGTGTAATTTAAAACAATACGATTACTTTCCTGCCATAAACATTATGTTAAGTTGACAAGTATTTAAGATGCAGGAATGGCATAAAAGATTCTTGTTGAACGAGCACTACGTACTAGAAATTACCAAAGTATCAATTTTAAGCCGCTTTTCATTGATATACTATATTATCTTTCAGTCAGTTTTTATTAATGGATGCCACGGAACGCCAATAGTTCATTTAAATAACCCACTAACGCAAATCACATTATTTAAATACCTTTTATCTTAAACTTGTTTGTTTGTAATTAAGCACAATGGGCTATCTGTGCGCTACAAACCACGGGTATCGAAACCCGGATTCTAGCGTTGTAAGTCCGCAGACATACCGCTGTGCCACTGGGGGGCACTTTTGAGTAAGAGGCTAAAATGATAAATTATGCTTCATTATGAAACCATATCATAATGAATGGCTCCATTAAAGATTAGTTTCATGAAATAAATAGAAAGAGTCGAGCACTGGATATCAAAATAAGTTATTGAAAAGGTAATTGCTCTTCAAAACATAATTAACCGTATATATACTTTTATGCACGTAAAAAACTTAAAAATACCGTTATAGCTGTAATTTCTTGTTCTGACTAATGATGATTTTATTTAAACTTATGAAATATACATTGCTGTTGGATACTAATTATTCATGAAACATGTTGATACAAAGATTAATGTTATCCTTGTATCGAAATAGTACTTCCTGACGCTCATTTAGTTAGAGAAATTAAAACGTGAATATGCATCTATCAAAACATGCTCGTAATCCACAAAATATTCTGAGCTACCTTGCAGTTGAATTATGAAAGTTAACATGTACAAATGTTAACAAAGGTAACATGGAAATATACACTTTGTAAACCGAAAAATGGATCCCACTTGTATCTAAATGCTTTGCCGGAGCGAAACATGTGTTTTTAAAACTTACATTTAAGAATCTTACTAAATTTTTTTTCATTTATAGTAATCAAAAGATTCTGTAATATGGTAACAAATAAAACTTACATATAAATACGTAACATGCGTATAAGTTATAGCATTTTAATTGATCATAAAACATTTATTTACTTAAAATTTATTCGTAGAATTTCTCTAAAGCAACTAGATCCTGTAAAGTTTGTTTCCTGTTTGGCTAAAATAATATGGTTGAATATTATTCTATGGATACAATCTAGAATCGTTCGGAAGATTTTTGTATACATCTGTTTGAGCATACTTCTGTATATATATATATATACAGATAGCCCATTGTGTAGCTCTGTTCTTAACTTCAAACAAACAATCTTACATATGTTTACTAAATAGCTGATAACATGTTGCACCAACAACCCCAAGGATCAACACAGCATAATCCAGTCTCGCACACGTGCCATTTTATTCTATATTGGTAAAACCTTACTCCATTGAATATTGTTGCCTGAAGACACGAAGGATATCAACATACAGCTTGTTACCAAATGTATACTTTCTGCTGCGTTTCCAAATACAGATGTCGATACAATATGTCATGGATACTAAAAATAGAACCAACACCTTGCTGACATTTCAAGTCGAACTTAAAGAGAAAAGAAGAAAGTAGCTTTTGCTTCAGCAATTGTTTTTAAGACAACCTACCATCATTGTAGCGTATTTTTTCACACTAGGAGAAACATGTGGTAATCTTTGTGTCATATAATGTTAAATTCCATTGATATATAACATATAATTGATTTTAGTTTTCTCGGTTACTTGATGAGTTTGCATGTGTATATATATATATATATACACACACATTCGTACTAAATTTAAATGTAATTTTATGGAAGTAAAAGAAATAGCAAACAATGAAAAAAAATGCAGCCACAAAACACGTATCCAACATCGGGACACAAATCATAAAGTGGTTCATTATCTAATGTGTCCTGGTTTTCTCAGGTACCGGTGGAAGTAGGACCCTAATTGTGTTGCGGGTACACCGTCTATCCAGTTTAACTTCAACTCCCCCGGCCTCACATGCTTAGAAGAGAAAAAAGCAAATGTTGGTCCTCTAGCCCACAACTTTCCACATCTTTACCACTTTTCGTTGTTTGCAGCCAGATGTGGGTAGGTGGTTGCTTAACAAAATGCCCCCAGTTGCACAGTGGTATGCCTGTGGACTTACAACGCTAGAGACCGGGTCTAGATACATATGGTGGACAGAGCACAGATAATCCATTGTGTAGCTTTGTGCTTAACTTCAAATAAACAAACAAGCTTACAAAAATAAATAAATAAAATGAAAACAATAATAAGAAAGAAACAATTAGAATACAAGACACAATAAAATAAATTTCTAAAATTTATTGTAGCAAAAATAATTGGAATTACTTATTTGGATATTTCATATCTTAAATAGGTGGATTAATGTAGTTGTAACGCTTTCCCCTATATCAGGCCTGCTGCTGTTTGGATCTCTTTAGAACCATTGAAGATCCATATAGCTGTATGAAAGGGTAGTGGATGGGAGTTATACTAACAATTTAGGTTGGGCTTAGTATATAAATACCTTAGCATCTTAGTATCAATGTCCAAACATCATACTGGGGGCTGGAATGCTAACTTCAAGAACAGTTTTGATGTCTCCCCCATTATTTTATTATTGTTTTTATTTTATGTATTTCTTTTTTGTGAGCAATCACCTTCCCACATCTGGCTGCAAACAGCGAAATGTGGTCAAGGTGAGGGTCGCTGTGGGCTAGAGCAACCACATTTGCTTTTTTTTTTTCTTTAAGCATGTGAGGCTGGCGAAGTTGAAATTAAACTGGATAGACGGTATACCCGCAACACAATTTTGGTCTTACTTCTGTCGGTACCTGATAAAGCCAGGACACATTAGATAATGACACACCTTATGATTTGTGCCCTAGTGGTCAGTGTTTATTATCTGCTTGCGTTTTTTTTTTTCGTTCTACATAAAATTATAGTTAATTATATTTCATTTAAGGTTTGCATTTGCTGTGTAAAATTCACTCTACTCGTTTTGATGTAAGACATGAGTTGTTAACTTAGTTTTTACATATCTATTTCAGATTTTATGTCTTTGATTTTTGCTTTTGTTATTTGGTGATACTTTAGACATGTATTATGTTTTCGAATGTTCCAGGTGCGGGAGGTATCGTGTGGTTTATATTTTGGATATTTTTAGCATTTGATTCCCCAGAAGACCATCCAAGAATATCCAAACAAGAACTTATTTTCATTCAGAAAGATCAGAACAGAGCGCATGGAAACAAAGTATGTAAAACGTTTGAAAATCGTAACAACAAATAAAAAAAATTATATTCTACTTATGCAAACAAACAAATTAAGAAGGCGTGTTACATTTTAGGGCGTATCGATTGCAACATTTACACAGTTTCAAATGTAGTGTATGGCCCCAGAATTAACTGGATTTTAAGTTATTGTTCAGTGTTTATATATTTCTCAGCTAATTCTGATTTCCTCGTGTATCATCTAGAATGTGCAAATAACCAAGTAAATCACGTGAAATCGCAGCCGATATAAAGTCACTGTGGAACGGCATCTATCAGAACTATGTTTTTACTTTTTTTTTGGCGGCGTATCTTAAGTAGTTCGATGACAGGAAAAAATTATCGCTTTTAGAAAGGTCGATCATTTAAAATTTCTAATACATTGGAGAACAAAGAGACATGGATGAACTTGGAACACTTGCGACACTTCTAACAGATGACAATACACGGAAATATAGGTCAGTGGCAGAAGTTGTTCACCTGCTCCAGGAAACATCACGCAACATAATCAAGAAGGATTCCAACAAGCTGCATCCATGACATCTGAAGAAAAAGAAGACAGAAGATCAACCTTAGAAAACCGTAAGAACGGTACCCAGCCGAGAGCAGTTGACAGTATGACCGTAGGAACGGTACCTAGCCTGGAGAAGGTGACATTATGACCGTAGGAAGGGTACCCAGTCGGAAGAAAATGACAGTATGACCGTAGGAACGGTATTCAGCCGGAAGAAAGAGACAGTATAATCACAGGAACGGTACCCAGCCGGAAGAAAATGACAGTATGATGATGCTTTACGAAGCATATGTGTAGCTTGATAACTGTGACAAATCTCGTGTTGTTGTTTTTTGTTTTTTTAACGGTCTACGACTCAAACAAAATTCCAATAGTGGTACGTGGGTAGTGAAAAGATTTCAACGGGATTTATATCTGTCAAATTGCCGGATGTAGGGCTAATGCAATCAGACTGTTGAAATGAGTGTTGCTGTATACTCGATGGACTATGAAAGCATGTATGGAGGAGTGATGTGTCTTATAACGGAGCCTTTTGCAGTAAAAACTCAGTTGCAGATCTATTGTCAAGATGCACAGTCGTTAGGCAAAGAACAACCGGAAGTCGCGGCATGGACTGTAATGACTTGGTGAGGCTCTGAAATCTTTTAAATATAATGTACTCAACATCCGTATGTTCATATATGGTTGAAATGTGAAACTAAGGTGACGAAAGCAATTACGCTTCATCCACTTATTTGTGATGTGCATGAACTTGAAAAATTGCATACGGTATCATAGTGTTTTCTAATTCTTTTGCTACGAAATCTAGTAAGCTGTGCGATTTTCATTAATTAATTAATTAATACTTTGTAGTTTATAATAATACACCCCATTTCATCACATAGCTGAAAAAATATCGGGATACTTACAATAAATTATGTTCCTGAAACATATAAACAAAAAATATCAACATCGTCAAATCAATTTCGAATTCAGCATTATTTTCTTTTAAGTCCCTTATGCATGAAACGTTTTGTCAACTGATTCAGATAATACATATATTTTTCTCGATTTTCACACTTGGTTTAAGGTAAATATTTTTTGTTTTATAAAAGTACATCTAAGGAAAGGCGTAGAAGCATATTCACATGACGCTAAATCCAATTTGTTATTTATATTTACAAATCATACCGTCTTTCCTGTACGCAGAAAGCGCCAGTTCCTTGGAAGAATGTTTTGACATCCATTCCGATCTGGATGCTGATCGCCACGCATTTTGGACAAGACTTTGGTTTGAATATGCTCCTGACTGAACTTCCTACTTACATGAAAAATATTCTCCATTTCAACATGGAAACGGTAGGTAAATTCTATTATATTAATCAATGTTCTCTGTTTTCCTTGGGATTTGTTGAAGATCATGAGATTCATTATCACTCGTTACGTTCAAATATTCCATACTGATCTTTAAATGGTTGGATATAACGGGATTTTGCCTATTAAATCATAAGAAATGCTGTTTCAGATGATTCTATTAAGTTCCTCTGTATGGCAAGTTAAATATGTTATATTTGATTTCATATAGCCTGCTTTACGTAGAGAACAGATGTATTAATGTCCTTAAATGATGAAACAAGAATAACCGTGCAGAACTTTAAACCATATTGTATTTCAAATTCTAAAACAGTCGTTCTTAGATGAACTCTTTGACGTAAGGATATTTTCACAGACAAAAGGTAAGCCAAATACTAAACAGTACCTATCTCAAACTCGTGTGCTACTCTAGTAGGACAGTGGGATTTGAAAGTCACTGTTAGAATGCGCTCAAAGCCCCAACGTCCTGTGATTTTTTTTCTTTTGTGGCAACGGGATACGAGTCAACAACCCTGAACCTAAAAAAACATGGCATGTTAACCACTAGGTTAGGTTATGCAATCCTGCAAAACTATGAATATGTTTACAATAATTCAGAAATATGATTTTTATCAAATATTACTGAATATCATTATGCATTGTAACAGTAATAAAAAAATAGATATATTTTAATACTGTTAGCAACATGGAACCTATCAACAAATGACGAATCTCATGAAAAAAACAGATCGTGAAACACAAATTAGGCTACGTGATAAGAAGCTGAAAAAAATACTTAAAATATATTCATTAAATATCCAAGATTTTCTTTAATTTGAATATTGAACTAAAATCGGATTGAATATATTCGTCAAATAAAACACTAAAGTAAAAGAAATATTTTAAATAATGTTAAACTATGATCAGAATATCGAAGGATAAAATTTCTACTTTGTAACGTATTAAATCAAAAAACATTGGAAACTTTTGTTCTAAAATTAGAATAAAAACATGTTTATCCGTGATTGATTAAAAATTCCTATGTTAAATATAACGATGGACTCACAGAAACTTTGCAATTAATACCTTTGAATAAACTTTATAGAACTATAATAATAATCAGGTCATAAGTATTATTTTATTCTCATTCGCATTTTAGTTTCTGTTAGTGTTTAACAAAACCAAACGTATATAAATGCTTTATTTTACGTTTGTTATCAATGAAATAATATGTGTTTTCTTATATACTTTGACCAGATTAGATTACTTTAAAGTAAACAGGATTTAGACTTGATTTTCAAAATCGCTGTTTCATTCTTCTACTGGGTTTTAATACGATCCCATCACTATATTGGTAGAATGATATCCATATTTTTTTCTCGTATTTAATAAATTATGATATAACAAGATAAGCGCCTCCCAGTGGCACAGCAGTATGTCCGTGGACTTACAACGCTAGAAACCGGGTTTCGTTACTCGTGGTGGGCAGAGCAAAGATAGTGCATTGTGTAGTTTTGTGCATAAATTCAAATAAACAAACAAGATAAGCTCTGGAAAAATGAACCATAAAAAATAAATCAGATGTTCTGGTACGTTAAATATTAAAATATCGCCATTGATTCCCAAGACATAACGGTTCGCTATTATAAACTTACATTGTACAAAAACTACCACAATTTAGGTATTTAGAAAAATCATGATATACTTTGAAACTGAAGCAAAACTTTCATTTAGAATAAAAGCTTGTTTTTAAAGAGCATGAAAGTTAAAAACTTAAATAATAAGACACATTATTTTTTTTACAAACGGCGGACAAAAAAGCATTTTGCTGATTTGTACAGAGATTGAGTACTTTATATTAAAATGACTCTGGAGTTTCACCACATCGTTATAGTCCTTGTTATCAAGTCCTGTCATACTCTACCTGACAACAGTGCATCTTGGGAAATATCTGCTGCGTATTTTCTTTATAAAAGGTTCCGTCGTAAGCTGTCATGTTCAAAGCATACGCTTCCTCCCAGCTACTTTTCATAATACATCTAGTGTATGAGGATGATGCTTTCTAAGCTCGAGTTTCAACAGTCAGGTCACACATAAATCCATAAGATGTTACGTCCGGTATCAATACATCTTCATATGAAATTACATGACAACCCGTTTTGCTCTCCAGCTGCCTGTTATATTCTGAAATTTGTATATATATATATATATATATATATAGTAGTATTAATAAACTATAATAATAATACTTAAT